TCATGACCTAATTAGGGATCAATCGGAAGCCGTCGTCGCCGCCGCCGCCAAGAGGAAGGTAAACGCCGCCGAGACTTCTTCGACTTTCGGGTTTGATAATAATACTGCTCCATGTCCGTACAGTACCACCGTCGTCGGCGAGGGGGGCTGCTGGGACAGTATGGCTAATTTCGAGTCCAGCTTGAGTGCTATTTTGGATCACCACAAGTTCAATGTTAGGTAAACATATGTAGATCTGATTTTGATTCTTCATTCTGTTTTTCTTTCAAAGAGATGCTACGGTCCCTTTACAGAATCATTCCGTCGGAATTTGTAACCGTTAGATCAACTATCTCCGACGGTTACATGATGATCTAACGGTTACAAACCCGACGGGATTCATTCTGGTGTCTCGCAACATATTTAATCGAAAGAATTTGGTGATTTGTGTACAGGTCTTCGAACAACTAGGGAAATGGCTTTTGGACGAGATTGTGTTTTGAGGAATATTAATGTAAGTTCAACTGCCATTTTTTTTTTTCTTCTTTTATCCCTAGGTTCTTCAGGCAATTCTGAAAAAATCAAGGGGTCTTGATTGTAATATTATAATTTTTAATTTTTTTTTGTTCTTGATTTCCAATTCAATGTGGCCTAATGTGATGTGTGTTTGATGATAAATTCTGTACAATTCTATCCATATTTGTGCAATTTGATCCTCCCATGACATCTTTTGCTTTGTGGTTGACTAGGTTTTGGCCATTGCCCAGTGGTCCTAGGGTAAAAATATTGACAGTTGAGCCCTTTTTTTTTTTTTTTCATAAATTGTCTTTGTCAAATAAATTTGAAAATACTTGTGAATAGGATTGACCATCCAGGTAATATATTAATTTGGAAGTATAATTAAATAAATTTGTCACATGATTTTATATGTGTATATATATATATATATTAATAAAATTATATATTTTTTGAGGCTGATGTTGAACAAAATAGTAATCAGATTAGTATACTTGATGATAATTGGTCTATTAGGTCCACTTCCAAGTTTATTATTATTATATATATATATATATATATATATATTGATTGAATCCAATGTACAAAATTATTTTAAGGATAACAGTGTCATAAATTCAAAACAGTTGCAAATAAATTATGGTGTACTACATAAAGTGATTGAAATGGAGATGGAGATGGAGTTAACTCGTAACAAAAGTAATGTGGAAGATTTTTCAGATTAATACTACTAGATTCTATGAATATGTATAAACTAAAATAAAATTTTATAAGTTTTAAGTGTGTGTATATGATATTTAAAATTGTTAGTTAGATAATGAGTATATCACATGATCTCGAATTCAAAACTTAATATTGATCCATCAAATGATATATTATTAAATTCATCGACACCTCAAGTATCGGGAATATCGCATGCCACAATCGTGTGGACGTATACGAGTTCACGCAATTGCCCGAAGAGGTTTTACCCATTAATTTTACTATCATGTCAACCTTACGTTTTGAGAAATATAAATGAACAGTCGGTACGTGCTTTCTTTGGGCAATATAAAAAATAGCAATGACTCTGATGGGCGGGTACGAGAATTTATGTTTTTATGAATGGCTCATTACTTGATACTATGTACATATTCTAAGATTACACACCCTCAGATGGAGAGAACATACCCATTAGCCTCAAGCAAATGATGATCAGTATATGAGAAATCGTTGAAATTACAAAATGGGTTCGAGAATTCAAGTGGGGAAGAAACGTGAGGAAGACGATTTTGTGAAAAATAGAAATAAAGAGTTTAGAAGTGGCAAAAGAAAAAAAGACAGCCTACAAGAGTTTTTATATGCCACAGTGTCGAAGGATTGGGATCTGAGCAGGTAAGGTGGCTCTGTTGGCGTCTCACATTCTCCCAAGTAGTCGAGTAGTACATTAAGAGAGAAAGTAAACCAGATACAGAGGCTCAAAGAAGAGAAATAATATTTCAACACAAGTCCAGTCAGCTCGTTCTGAAATGGGAGTGTTATATGATGTAGCACTCGGAATAGCTTGCGAGACCGACTTGAGTAATTAGTAGCTCGGGTAGGCTGGTCAGGAGAGCTCCAACTGTACAGAAGTAAGTAATCCAGTCAGAGAGCTCGTATTCGAGCTCAAGGTACTGGGTTATGACCTGAAGAAGGCGACCTGGAGGTACCGACATCCAGGAGCCCAACATGAAAATTGACCTTAAGGTATTGACGCTGTAATACTTAGTCGCAACAAGTAGGTCCGGAGGTCGTGGTTACGGTCTGGGGATCTAAGGATTGCATGGTAAGGGGAAAATAATCCTAATAAGAAGCAAAGTATATGATCCCTTATTCAGGAAACTTGTTCAGATAGAGACGTGGCGAGTTAGGGAATGTGATTTGGTGAGATATCTTCCCCAATAACTATCTCTTAGACATCAGACAACTATCCTATATAAGTGTGCCATGTTCTACTTTGTTAAGATATTGCATTATTACACCTTAGAACGTATATTAAGGCGTTACATATTTTTTATTTTGGTTACGATGACTTTCATTATTATTCACATTGAAGCCATTACTTTAGATGACTTATGGGTATGCTCATGGTTATAAAGCTGTTTAATTCTTGTGCTTATACTTTTTACTAGTATTTATTTACTATTTAGGCTTATTTGATTGAACATGATTTGATTTGTCAATTATCTAATTTTGTTACGTTGGTGAGAAATTTGAAATAAAAAAAATAAAACGGTAATTTTAGTAAAGCACTATACAAATTAAATACATACATATATTAGCATATACATAAACATATTATACGTATTATATCTATTTAATGATAAAAAAAAAATGTTTCTCTTATTCGTTATGTTTATTTGTTAATTAACTGTTATTTGTATTTAATGTTCTACTATATTAATTCATTTTCAATTTTATTATAAAATGAATAATAGATATTATTATTAAATCTCATATATATTTGCTTTCATTTCCATCAATCATATCTTCCAGGTCATATGCAGGGCAATGTATATATATATATTAATTAATTAATATACGTAATTTCCGAATGATTTCACCTAAATTGCATAGAATTGTACAATCTTGTACAAACAGTGGATTTTATAGTACTAAAATACTTTACCTGCAATTTCATGAGTCAAACTTTGACACAAGGCTCCATGCAACTAACAATGTACAACCATACATATGCCTGATATAAATTAAGATAAAAAATGATAAAATTTATTGAGATAGAAAATGAACATAATATTTCTGTGTATTGAACTCAATTCAGATTGATTACAGAGTACATATATGTTTTATACAATGTGATAGAAAGCTGCAAGCCAATAGCTTAGCTGGCACGCACTAACTATGTAAACAACATTTCTATTAACCACTTTTCTATTTTCTAACTGATTACTCTAATATACCCCCGTGAAACCAAACTAGGTGTTTGAAAATTCCTTAGCACGCAGAGGAAGCTTGGAACAGAGAGCATGAAAACGTCCAGGAGCTAAAGGCTTGGTTAGCAGATCAGCAAGTTGAAGAGCAGTGGGAATGTATCGAACATCAACCTCTTTGGCAGCCACCTTTTCTCGAATAAAATGCACATCGATCTCTATGTGCTTGGTACGGGCATGCTGCACCGGATTGGAGGCAAGAGAGGCAGCACTTTCGTTGTCACACCACAAAATAGAAGGAGATTCATGAAACAATCCAAGTTCATGAAACAGCGACTGCATCCAGATGAGGTCAGCAGTGGCAGTAGCAAGACATCTATACTCAGATTCAACACTACTCCTAGAGACGACTTGCTGCTTTTTAGAACTCCAGGAGAGAAGATTTGAACCCAGGAAAATAAAGTGACCACCAGTAGATCGTCGATCATCTACACAGCTGGCCCAGTCAGCATCTGTATAGGCCTCAAGTGTAAACCTCTTGACAGGTTGAAAAATAAGACCAACAATAAGAGTACCCTTTATATATCTCAGCAGATGTTTACAAGAAGTCCAGTGATTCACAGTAGGATATTGTACAAATTGACTGAGTTTATTAACTGCAAAGGCAATGTCAGGTTTGGACATAGTAAGATATTGGAGAGCCCCAACAACACTTCTATACAATGTAGGATTGGAAAAGGGGTCGCTGTCTTGAAGAAAAAGCTTGTGAGAGGGGCAAATGGGAGTTGAAACCGGTTTGCAGTTCACCATGTTGGTTTTGGTCAACAAATCAAATGCATACTTGGACTGATTTAAGACAAAACCAGTGGGAGTCTTAAGAGCCTCAAAACCAAGGAAATGGTTGACCTCTCCCATAGTTTTTAAAGCAAATTTATGACCAAGAGAAGTGATAAGATTTTGAACTGAAGAAGAATTGTCACCTGTAATTAGGATGTCATCCACATAAATCAATACAAGCAACAACTCACCATTTAATCTTTTGAAGAAAAGAGAAGAATCAGACACACTCTCTTTGAAGTGCAATGTGAGAAGAAAATCCTTGATTTTAGTAAACCAAGCCCGAGGAGCTTGTTTGAGGCCATAAAGAGATTTATTGAGTTTGCAAACAGCATTGGGATGAACAGGATCCTCAAAGCCAGCTGGTTGGGTCATATAAACAGTTTCATGCAACTCCCCATTCAAAAAGGCGTTATTGATGTCAATTTTTTGTATAGACCAAGAATAAGTGGCAGCAATGGTAAACATTAATCTAATAGTGCAAGCCTTAACCACAGGGCTAAAGGTCTCCATAAAATCCACTCCAGCAGTTTGCTGAAAACCCCTAGCTACCAAACGGGCCTTGAACTTATCAACAGACCCATCAAGGTTGTACTTAGTCCTAAACACCCACTTGTTGGAAATCACCTTCATATCCGGTGTATGATCCACAAGAACCCAAGTATTATTGTTAATAAGAGCTTGAAACTCAGCCTTCATGGCAGCTAACCATTGAGGACTAGACAAGGCCTCAGTAGTGTTGGCAGGCTCAAGCAAAGGAGGTTTAGTTAAAAGAGAAGAATAAGTCTTAGGCTTGAAAATACCAGCCTTGGACCTGGTTATCATGGGATGAGTAGGAGAAGCAGCTACAGCAAGAGATGAGGGAATAGATGAAGGCATAGAAGAAGAAGCTGAAGAAGCAGGGGAAATAGGCAAATGCACAAATAAAGGACAAGTAGAAGGAGGAGAAGAAGAAGGAGTATCACTTGAGAGCATACTATTGGAGGGAATAGAAGAATGACCAGGAGCCTGAACATGAGAAAGAACAGAAGAAGAAAGTGGAAAAAGTGCAGGAGATGAAACAGCACCAACAGTTGATGAAGAATGAGAAGGAAAAAGAGAGGTATAGGGAAATTCAGATTCATTAAAGGCTACAGAAATAGCTGTATAGATTCTGCCTTGAGAGCTAAGGCAAATATATCCTTTGTGATGCATGCTATAACCAAGAAA